CGGGGCGGGGCCTCGGGGCCGCTTCCGCTTCCGCTTCCGCTGCCGGCGGAACACGTGGCGATGAAATCCCCGCGGGGACTCTTCCTCTCTCGCCCTGGGGTTGGGGTGCGGCCGGATGGGTGGGATGCTCAGGAGCGACGCTGCTCTGGGTTACCATCGGCTTCAGGTGAAGCAGTTCACTGCCCGACGCTGCACTGGCTGTGTCGGCAGCAGGCAAGCGCCTGAAGGGTTAAGGTAACAATTACATTGAAGTACTACCGCGTGCAGCGTATAATGGAATATTGAACAGTCCCGTTGTCGCTGATCTTTGGTCATGGTCGGTTACGGTCTGTGACATATCAGGTTAACATATCAGTCCTAGTCTAGCTTATTGTTTGTTAATGTTCAAATAGAACTTAAAGAATCTCACCACTTCATTTTTAAAATCTGCCCTTTCTTTCTTTCTTTTTTTAAATATATCTTTATTGATTTCAGAGAGTGAGGAAGGGAGAGGGAGAGAGAGAGAGAGAGAGAGAGAAACATCAATGATGAGAGAGTCATTGATCAGCTGCCTCCTGTAGGCTCCCGACTGGGGATCGATCCCGCAACCCGGGCATGTGCCCTGACCGGGAATCGAACCCCGATCGCCTGGATCCTAGGTCAGTGCTCACCTGCTGAGCCACGCCCGGCCCTTTATTTCTAAACCTGCCTGTAAACTGGTTGAGAAATGGCCCCAGAGAAGTACAGAAGTGGTTTGTTTTTGTCTTGTTTACATAACTGGGCCATTCTCAGACGCTTCAAGGTTTCTTTCTGAGAGGTGGCCTACGCCGTGAGTCACAGACAGGTGAATTCTAAAGTGCAGAGCCACACGGCATCTCTTTCCCCCCACCCCCACCCTCTTATCCTTGCCACTTACCTCTGCATTGATGTCTTGAGGTATGTGAGAGATGACTTTTTTAAAGCTAGTGTTTATTTTATCTTGTGAAAATATGAGCTTGTTTGAGCAGTAGTATAATAAAGTTGGAATGATGGAAATGCGAGTATGACAACTTCTTGAGGCATTCCACACTTACAGTTATTTTACAAGCTGTCTAAATGAGAATTATTATCTTTAAATTCAGAAAAAAAAAATTAAAAAAATAAGTTAACTACCTTTGTTTAGAACCTTCCAAAGATAATATTTTTTAAAACCCCTATACTCTATGTTATTTAAAATTTTTTGAAATCCTGAGTCCCTGACTATATATGTAATCGGTGTTGTAAACGTGCCACTATTTGGGCAAGTATCCACAGTACAAAAATATCTGATAAGCCTATTTCAATTAGTCAAAGGCATTCAATTTAATCTTATGAGTCATTGAACTTAGCTCATAAATTCTATGATTTAAAAAAACTACCCACGACATAGAAGACATACAAAGGTAATACCAATAATCCTGACAGTAATTATGCTAGGGGGATAATTTGGATGCTTTATATTACACATTTCCTGAAGGATTAGGAGCCTTAATTTTTCATTTTGCTTTGGGTTATCACACATGTATTGACTAAATTCTTAGCATATATATATATTCATATTAATATAGTTTTGTTTCTTCTCTCTACTAGCTTTTGCCAAAATTCTTGATCCTGCATATCAGGTTGATAAAGGAGGCAGGGTAAGGTTTGTTGTGGAATTGGCAGATCCAAAGCTGGAGGTGAAATGGTTTAAGAATGGTCAAGAAATTCGACCCAGTACCAAGTAAGTGAACTTTGCAAATAACCAGTGATAACTATATGAATCAAACAGTACTTTGACTTAATTCTCTATGAATAAAGCTCTTTTTATCTAACTTTTACAATGCAAAATCATATAGAGGTAGAGTAAAACCTTTTCATATATTTTGGAACCATTAAAACTATACCACTATCTAAATTAAACCTTGTTTTAGATTTTAATTCTATACAAACTATTTCAGGTGACTCCCAATTATGGTTTTGTGTCACTACAGGTTACATGTGATTATTTCAGAATGTTACCCAAATTCTCTTAATTTTTTAGAATAAAATTTTGAAAAATTTTGAAATATGTATTTGACATACCAGCTGGGAGTCACGCTTTATAATTAGATAACTTTTGTTTCTCCAGTGTAGCATCAGAAGCCTCTTTTTTTATTGCTTGGCCCTCTCCCAAATGAAGGAGACAGACTAATCCCTGATGTCTGATGGTATCGCTAGTCCATTATGAAGCCGCTTTACAGAGATCCTTCTCAGCCGGAGAGATTTTCAACTCCAACATATTTTTTTAAGTTAACAGGAGCCACATGCGTGTTTACAAAAGACTTTGATCCTGAAAATCTGTCACTTCTGTAGCACAATTAGGTGGCTTCCGTTTTCTTAATGCGCCCATGCCTACAGAATGACTTTGTGATAATAACGTTTGTCCTGGTAAAAATCTCTTACAGGTAACCTGAATTTACTAAAAACATCATTTTACTTGGTTATCTTTATCTAGAAAATGTTTAGTGTTTTTTTCTTAGAGTCTTCAATTTCAGAGTTTTCCAAATGAAGCCTTTTTCTGTAGTCTTTTATAATGCCCTATTACACCCATCCATGATCCAAGTCACACATAATGAAATTTTGCAATCCTCTTGGCTTTTAGTTTTTTTAATTTCCAAATACCCAAGTTCTTTTTTAATAGATGGTAACTGTGATATGATAACACCAGTTCTTAAGCTCATTTAAGAGACTATCACATTCTATAGAATTACTGTCTATATTAATGATTAAGTTCGTATTATTACTTAAGCTGTATAATCCTTTATTTGCCCCCAAAAGTCTGTGTCACTAGACTAGGCAAGGAGTGAAATCAGTGAATTGGGAGTAAAATCAGGACTCTGTCCCTCTGCAAAGTAGATAAATTGTTCGTTTTTAAACAACGTACAGACTTGACAATTTCTGACAACCTCAGCCAACCCTATTTTCCAAAAATGGGTTAAAAATATTAATAGGAAATATACAAGCACTGATTTATATTTGAAATACCTTATGTAAAAGAAAATAACTGAAATTAGATATGTGTAAGCATACATATGAATTACATGATGTGTTGTAAAGATAAAAATCGGTTTCAATTTTGCTGTTCATTAAACTATGTAAGATGTGCTTCATAAATGGCAGATCAAAATTATATCCCTGTCTTTCAAGCATTATCGAATTATAAGCCAAATTTTCTGGCAATACATCAAGTTTATGGACTCTGTTTATCTTCCTCCTATTTAAAACAGATACATCTTTGAACATAAAGGATGTGAGAGAATTATGTTCATCAATAACTGTAGTCTAACAGATGATTCGGAGTATTACGTGACGGCTGGTGATGAGAAATGTTCCACCGAGCTCTTTGTGAGAGGTAAAGTGAAATCTCTTCCTGTAGCCATCAAGAGCTGATGGCTGGCCTCCTCCCAGGGGTAATGATTGGAATCAAAGTGCCCAGGTGAGCTCTTGAGCTCCATAAGTAGCATCTCTAGAGATGGTTTAGTTTGGATGCTCTATTGACTCTGCACTGAAGCTCCTCTTCGCTGGCAGTTAATGTGTATCCTAATTCATCTTCAGGTTCCTTGAAGACTAGAAAAGCCAAGGAGAGAGAAAAACTGCTGAGTACAAATGCCTGGAGGTTTAGACTCAAGCAAACAGTATTTTACAAAATAATTATTCTATTGATGGCTTCTGAAACCCAATGAAGTCTACAGAGTAATCCTCATCTCACACACTCAGCTGATAAAAAATAGATTTCTCTTGAAACCAGCTTCATAACTAAAGGGGCATCAGTGGTTGGCACTGAGAGCTCTAAAGACTGTCATTTTACTAAGACACCGTGGAAAGAGCTGGGGGTGTCCGTGAAGCCAGGCATCACTTGTTTTTGTTTTTATTTATGTTTTTGTGAGGCACCCTTGCTTAGGACAACTCTGCAATCTACCATCCATCTAGAACCAGAATGAAAGAATTTTAGTCTTAAAGGTTCTTCATCAGAAATGTCTACCACTTGGTATTTTATTTGCATGCCCTTCCCCAATGATGTTTGATACATTTTGTCTGCTCTCTAGAATAATAACTTATTTGATTTGAAGAGTTCTGGGTAACTGGGAACATTTAGCCAGGGTTGTCAGCTGTTTACTTTGCCAAGGAAAGTCGTAAAGACCCCACCTACTCTCTGCCACCATCTAACTAATCATAGCTCTGTGGTAGGATACTTTCTTGCTTCGGTATTTTCCTCTGTGAATAAATTTGGGATTGTGAGGCAGGTTTTGGACATTTAATGATTCTGATTCTCTCTTTTTTTTCATACCAGAGCCTCCAATCATGGTGACCAAACAGCTGGAAGATACAAATGCTTACCTTGGGGAGAGAGTGGAATTAGAATGTGAGGTGTCTGAAGATGATGCTAATGTAAAATGGTAAATAGCTTTGCTGAGGTCTGTTCATTTTTAATAGACACACACACAAAAGTACCTTCAAAGTCTGGGGACCAGGAGATTGCATTTACAGATATGAAAAGAATCTCAATCTCATTTGTGTTAGTAGAAATGGTAACTAAAACAATACTAAGATATTGTGATGTTTATTTTTTACTTATGAAACTAAAAAGAATCTGGAAATTTGTATTGGTAAGAGTGTAGGGAAGTAGGCACATTCTAATAATAAATGGATGGCTCAAAGTTGCCCGGGTCTGTTCAACCCCAAAGCCCATAGATGCTCTTCACCTCTAGCCCATGCTTCCCCTCACTGTACCATGCTGGCAACTGACATGGAAAATATACTTTGTTTTTTTCATTTTATTCCTTAATCATTTTATTGTTATAGTACTTCAGACAAATATTTCAGACCGAGAATCATCAGTTACTTTAAAAAATAAAAACCAATTTTTTTTTTTGTCAGCTGGGAAGTGTTTTCTCAAGTTCTCTTTGAGTCACCTCAAAATTAAAGACTAAAAGATTCAGAATCCTAAAATAAAATGTTTTGTTGAGAAGTACAGTAAAGTACATGGCTGGAGTCAATTGGTACTACAGAGTAATTGGTACAGCGTAGATTGTCCATTCTAATCTGGAATCATAGCTATCTTTAAAATGTATCTAAATGTTGTTCTCACCAGTATACATCAAAAGCCTAAACATGGGTGCTATCCTCTCTTAGCATAGTCATCTGATTGATCTTGAGTGGAAAGAAGGGGCTTATGTTCTTTTAATGTAGTCTTTCAGACAATATTTGTTATAATATTCAATGCTGGATTGATGTATATATTCTTTAATTCAATAAATAGTTCTCGAGTGTCTGGTATCTTGCTAGATACTTTGCGAGACACTAGGATGTGGGAAAAACAAGACCAATGAGGTCCATCTCCTGAAGGGTCATTTATTTAAAATTTTTTTTTAATAATCTATTTTAACCCAGGTTTAAGAATGGTGAGGAGATCATCCCTGGTCCAAAATCAAGATACAAAGTTAAAGTGGAAGGCAAAAAACACATTTTGATCATAGAAGGAGCAACCAAGGCCGACAGTGCAGAATATTCTGTAATGACAACGGGAGGACAATCATCCGCTAAACTTAGTGTTGGCTGTAAGTGTGACTTCCTTGGATGTTTTCCATGTTGGTTACTAATGGTGTTGCATTTGTTAATTCTGTTGTAGAAAAATGTCCATCTATTTGATTTCTACTTGTGGCAGATTTAACTCTGTAAAATTAAATTCCATTCTAGCTGAGTGTCTGTGTCATATCAATCAGGGTCTCTGAGAAAAGAACCGACTATTTAATTTAACCATAGAGCACCAATATTGAGAAGGAAGTATAAAAACCACCTGCCAGAGAAGTTACCCATGGTTATGAAATATTTTAATCTCCAAATCATATAAATAGATGATAACTACTTAGACACGATACCAAATCTTGATCAGGTTTACTTAATCCATAGGTGCACTTGCTATCTGTTCATTAAGTAAACATTCAACATTCTGCAATTACACTTGAGGTGAGAAGTTACTCAACTAATAGGCCTCAGTTGAGAGCACTGTAAGAGCTAATTTGCGAATATACTTCAGAAGCATGAGAGAATTAATGTACTTCCCCAAATGCCCACTGTTAGTCAGTTCTCAATGGCAGAGCCTGTCCCTTTCGATGATCATATGATCACTGAATTATTCAGAAGTAATTTCGGCACACTCCTATGTTTCATGGAGTGGTGGCCATTTTAGTTTAATATCAAAAAAGGTTTTTATAACCATACGCAGATCCTTAACTGTTATTTGCATCCAGTTAAAACAATTACAATCAGTTCTGTGATAATGCAACATACGCATTTCTAAAAATCACTGCTATCCAAAGTCATGAAATAAAAACCAAAGGACTAGTGGGGGAAATGGGGTTATGGGCATAACCCTCAAAAATTTTGTCAGCAACATATTTAAAAACACACAATGAGAACCTAACAAAAAACATTTGCACAGTTTTACACATGTTAAATGGTTAATAAATAGTATAGTGGATATGGCCCTTTACCTTAAAAAAGACCTGACATTTGCTTGTGGAAGTGATGTCAGAAGTGTTGCGCCTTGTGAGCTATTGTGAAATGGTGGACAGAGGTTATGTGAAATTGGATGGATGATGGTAATCTCAGCTGTGCATGGGTGTGGCTCATGTCACGGGTGAACTGAGGTGGCTGGGGACGTTTGAGTTGTGTGGGTG